CCCCCCCCCCCCCCCCCCCCGTGTCAATCCACGCGCCGGCATGTGATAGTCACAGCCTCTCTTGTAAATGAGTCCTGGAGGCTCAATGGGATTAACCTGTCTAAATACAGGTTGAATGAAGAAGTACACAACAGTTTTTAAACTGTGGCGATAGGCCCAAGTACAACCAGAGTTATGATAAATAATCCACTCCACATCTTTTTCTGAGAGTCAACATCATATCTGAAGCGCGTCATTGGTGGCTTTAAAAAGACACAAAAACACGTTTTTTCCCGTTCACTTTTAAAGATAAAGGAACTCCTTTGTGGCGAAGGAGAACTTTAATCCATGTCCATTTCACTTGGTTGTCCACTGGAAAACCTCGGAACAAGAGCTGGTTGTCAAAGACGAAAATAAGTTGTCGGACAAATAAATGAAAACTGCGCATGTCCACCTCTACAAAATGTCCAACCAGTCACACACCAGACTGTTTATGAGCTTAACAAGCTTGAGCAATGGCAGCCACTAAGGCAATAAAATGACAGAAGTTCCCCCCACCATTATCCAAGGAGGGCGACCCAGCCGTCAACAGAACCGAACACCCCGCTCCGGACGGGGAGCAGATTGTAGCAGCTCAGTGCAGACATAGCATTGGTATCATAGTGCTTGTTTAACGCTTACCCCCACCACTGACAAGTAGCGAGACTGGCAATGCTGCTGTATCACTCTGCCACCAGCCTTTGGCTTTAACTTAACTCATTCATTCAACCTTTATTTAGACAGGTAATCCCATTGAGCCTCGGGGACTCATTTACAGAGAGACCTGATTTAACAAAGAGTGAGGACAACAAGTGACAACAGCAACAACAAACAGTTATAAAAAGTCATACTAGTTTTTTTTTTTAAACAAACAGGATGGCTAAAAGAAAAAGGCAACATAAAAACAGCTAGATTCTAAGGTGAATGCAGAAACTAAAAACAGGAACATGTCTGCATTGGTCCCTGCCAGGAGTCCAACAGATTCTTAAAGACACTTGGAGAGGCTAACACTTTACTCATCCCAATACTTAGGACGCCATTATCCCCCTTAATATATTATTATACTATACTAGATATTTGTTCAAACTGATAAGATGGTGAATCTCAAAGAGTAAATCTGTCAAAACTACAAAGGAAATCATGAAAACACTGGTAAGTAAACTATCTAAACCCCTAACAACTAGAATACAAATGACCAAGTTCTACATTTAGAAGAAGCAATAAGTCAAGGCCACAGTCCAAACAGGTCCCCAGCCAGCTGGAAGACCAATGAGGAGATTCACAACAAGCTTCAAAATGAACTGTGTGCAAATCATGTCACGATGAAGCTCAGACTGGATGCATCTTTGGAATTATACCAGAAGGCACACAATCAATAACCTTTGAAAATGACGTCTTTTCAACCGTATTGAACCAGGTTCTTGTGAGGTCAAGAACCCTTTTCTTACGGCGTAATTAAGCAAGAACTGCTGCAGTCTGATCGCACAAGCAGCACAACAAAGGGAACAAAAAACTCACCATTGAGAGGAGTGGTGGCAGGGCCCGCTCGGTTCTGGGAATTGGTTCCAGCAGACAGGATCCGAGTTAGTCCCAACACAGTCTGGTTAAAATCCCTAAATCCTCTACGAGACAAGTCCCCTTCACCTAAAAAGTGATGGGATAGTGTTCGCGGTCTGAAATGCCTCCAGCGGCATGATTTAATGTTCAAAAAAATGTGACTGAGGTCCACTGGTGTAGAAGATGACAGGGGTGATGAAGATGAGGAAAAGTTAGCGGCGCTGGTAGAGTCCGAGGTATTGTTTTCTGAGGTACTGGCGTTGTGGAGCGAAGAGCTTAGAAGTGGTGAGGCGTGCAGTTCTGGGTCAGAGTCCAGGCTCTGGGTCAGGTCTTCAGCCATGTGCGCTCTGTCCAACAAGATCCTAAAAACAAAATCAGAGAACTGCTGAAAAACAACACCGCATGACGTCTGATGACAAAAACACACAATTGCTCATAATAGAGAAGTACAACTTCACTGGGTATTCCTGGCAATCTGTGTACAAACAATGTGGACCCCGAGAAACATTTTATTCTCTCAACAAAACACGATGCAACAAACTACTTATTCTACAACAATGTCACACTGATAAAGGATTGACATTTAGAACTCAACGACTCATTGCTGGTCCATTTGCATAGAAACAGATGTATAATAAAACCATATACAAGTCCTTTTACATGCAATAAAAACTAAATGTCACAGTGGAACCACAAACCCCACACACTTGTAGAAAATCTATAAAAATGTATTGGGACATTTAAGTCTGATACAAACAGATCAATGAACTGACTGTCTGATTAGAAGTGTAATGCCAACAGAACAAAGTCGTTCAATCATGTGCACCCATCACGTACTGAGGACGACACTTTCATTCAGACCGTGCAATCATTCAACCCCCTCGGGGCGTCTGATGAAAGGTTGCTGTGAACACAAACTGAACACCGAGTGTCTCCAATGTGTCTGTGAAACCTGGAGGATTACATTTACAACAGCGGGCACTGGAAAAGCACTGGAACAATAACAAAACTAAATTCTTCCTGCTCAACGATGAATGAATGAAAATCCATGAACCGAAGCTGCAGGACACATCACTGCTCAAACTAAGCAGAAGCCATGTTTTTGATCGTCTTCAGGCCAGAGGCAGGTAATTTCCCACAACAGGATTGTCATCTTCATCATTTACCAGCCAGCCTGATATTTATAGTAGAGTGCGCCTGCCAAATGGCTGCTGGGAGCCTGCCAAGGAGCTGGTACGCTAAGTAACCGCAGCAGTTACAGCCAAGTGTTGGCTCAATTTATCCTGCTCACTACAAAAACTGGCAGCATCCCTGCAGATATTTCACGTTTCAGCTTTTTCAAATACTAATGTGCAGCTTTTCATCCAACCATTTTGTTGGAAACGGCACGCTACTAACATGTTTCTGTTTGTGTGAAAATCAACACGGTAAGCCCAAGCTCACCTGCCCCCCCTGCCCAGACGACGTCGAGCCAGGCCTATGCAGCACGGCGGCGTGTTGATTGAGGTCGGGCAGTAGCGGTAGTGTGGGTCTCCGAGCCCACCCTCTGACGGGCTCGCCCACGGCCAGCTGCCACTCTTGTCTGGACGAGGCTGAAGGAAGAGGAAGACAAACGAATCCATTTGTAAAAGAACAGAACAACAGTAAGTTTATCTTTGCATTGTTTTGTCTGGCGGAGTGAGGGAGACTGTCCAGCCTGCTCTTAGCTCCAGGAATAGAAACACAGGAGTCACAGGAGGGCACTCACAGCGTAATATTGACAACCAGCCTTTCTCCTGAATGCATAGCAGCCATCTGGGTCATTCTCCTCTTCTGCCTCTGAGGAACATGAATGGATCTGGAAAACAAATATAAATCGAGACAAGGTTTTAACTGATACCACTTCGTACCTAACACACGAAGATCTTACTAAAATAATATCAAGGAGATGAAGGATTTCATTTTAATATTAGCATCACAATGGAACCACGGGCTAACAGTAATTATGGTGTGAAATGAAATACCTGTGAGAATGGCTCTTCATCAGAGCTGGGAAAATCATACTGGTTGAGGTCCTTAGGATTGAACACAGAGGGTCCTGAATGTTGAGGCGCTGACAGGGGGGAGATTTTGGGTTTCTTTTCATATTTCCTTTTGGTTCGTACTGCCTCCACCTTTTCAGGCTTTGTGAAGACAAAGAAAACAACATGTTTATACTCGAGGGAGCGAAAGCTAAACGGCATTCCAAAGAGAAAACCACGACGTGGGCTGGTAGCTGAAGAGTTTATGGTCTGTGAACAGGCTCTGAAGAGACGGAAGCACCACCAGAACAAAAACAGAGGCATTGATATGCAGATGGCAGCACGTGCCAGATGCCA